GAAGATGTTATGTATGGAACACGCACCCCTCTGTGTGGGGGGGGTTTTTGGGGGGTGTTGGTCCAGCCCTATTTTATGTTCCCAAAGGTTGAGAAACACTGATATAGGCACTTGTTTTGTATAATATAGATATGTTACTTTTTTTCCCTATATGCTTCTTACATTCTTTGATCTTCTCTGCCTGACGACTTTCTGCAGGGGGCTTACAGCCAACCCCAAAATACAAAGGACCAATATGAAATGTAACAATGACAAAAGTAGCAAAACAAAAATTGGATCTGGGTACATAAACCTACAGCAGAATTTTGTCTTTGCCAAGGAGTTGTTTGGATTTCACACACTATTGCAGATCTCAAAAGCTAGGCAGGTTTATACAGGAGAGGCAGTCCTTCAAATCATTTGATCCTAAACCACTATAATTGTATAGATCATAACCAGCATTTTGAATGATTCCCCAGAAATGAATCGGGAGCAATATGCTAAACACTTCAGCAACATGGGAATGCTTCCTAAAACTGGTCAGGGTCAACCAGTACGTGGTGCTGCCTGAGGCAAACGTTTATTCCTAACCCGTCCCATATTCCTTTTGCAGAAGGCTTTCAGCTGAATCTTACTTCAGCACTGGCAACAGGATAGCATTTTTCAGCATACAAACAAGATACCTAGATCAACAAGCTAGTTTAGGAAGTGTGGGCAAGCTGGCCCCGTCTGATGTAAACTTTTTGAATTTGGAAACAGAGGTTTCCTGGTCTGAAATGAGACCAAGATAGGCATATCTGGGAAGGTCATTCTATGAGAGAAGTTCCCCTCCAGTTTCCACCTACCTTATCTTACTCAGCAGAATATCACATTTAGATCCCTGGGTGTGGATCAATTGCTATGGTAGACCCAGAGAATTTTTGGATCCTAATTGGGTATGTGTTGAAGGAAAGCACCAGCAATTTGAACTGATCCTGTCTCCTGACTTCTATTAATAATTTATATATGCTGAATTGATTATAGCTCTCACACTGACTTCAAGGCAGTCCCAGAGAGAAAACCTGATAGTAATCTAACTATGACACCTAGCAAAACATCTTAGGCATTTCTACTAGCATAGAAGTCTCAGTATATTCTCCATTTGATTTCCTCTGAGAAATGCAGGTTAAACGTTTGAGACAAAGGTTAACTCTCTGCCAGGCAACTACGTAGAGTCAGTATCCATGTTCCATCTTCAGAAGTGCTCAGTAGCTTCAAGAGGTCCCGCTTCTGTTCGCTTAACAAGCCACATACAAGTATCCACTTGTTGGTTTAGCCTGTTGTGTTAACTCAGCAAAAATGAGCGTCTCTTTTTCATAGATTTTGATTACATTAACTTTTGCTGAGGGGAGGGGAGGGGAGGGGAGGGGAGGGGAGGGGAAGGGAATAGCATCCTTCAGAACAATCTTTATTATTTTCCATATTAATCATGTTCAGAAATCTCCATTGGCTTCCTAGCCAGCCATTCCCCTAAATCAGTGGTTCTTAAAGTATGGTCCTAGGACCCCCGGGGGTCCCCAAGACCCACTCAGGGGTCCACAAAATCAAAATTATTTGTCAGCCTATGTTGAAAAACAATACAATATTAAAATCCCATCAAACAATTGTGAGAAGCGGTAGTGGCAGCAAATGCGTCCATTTTAATTTTTAATACAGTAAATATTGATAAATATAACCCATACAAACAAAAGCTCTTTT